GGGGCTCGAAACTACGTCTGACAATTAGAATCCCTGCTGGATTTGGCTCCTGCAGGTGTCTCATTAGTGGAAAAAACTTTCCCTCTTCCTCTTACGGCCTCTGTGCACATGGGGGAGTTGGTGGTCCTGACATGAACTCTTGAACTCTTAGGGGTTTTATATGGATGCTACATGCGTGTGCTTCCTCTTTTCACTGTTGTATCGAACTTCAGATTGGGTCATAGCAAAGCCTTTTTTTTTTTATTTTTTGAAGCTGCTCAGTTTTTTTCAGTGTTTATAATTTGTTGGTGTTCTCTTCAAAAGAGAATAATCTGGTGAAAACTCTTAGATGTTTATTTGTCACTCAGCAATAAAGCATATATGGCTTGAAGCACTTGGTTTTTTGTTCACCAGCATTAAGAAGCAGCCAGTAACTGCTAACACTCTTCTCAGATTGTCATGACCATGTTAATCTATTCGTGATGCTACAATCTTTGGATTATTTTTCTCAGGTCAAAATTTTTTTCACCCTCACTTTGGAGTGTATCCCAAGAGGCTACAGATGACTCAGGTGTACAGATGTGATCAGCAAATAGTTCTGTGGACCAGTGGCTTTGGAAGGATATGTGCATTTTGTCAGAAGTGGCTTTTATTTTATCAAATAATGTTTTCTGCTAAACCCTGTGGGACGTAGAAGCTCTCCTTGGGCTCCATACCACGTTCACTAGCAACACGGCGCGGCCTCCTGCGCGTCCTGCTCATCTCCCTGCAGTTCTTCAGCGCTGCAGCAAGAGGAGGTGTGGAGTGCCCTGATGACCGGGACATTCCCGTGGGAGAGGGCACGCGAGGAGACTGCTCCTCTCCCTAGGCTACTGCATAAAGGAGGTGATGGATCTCTGGCTGCGGCTGTTTACACAGGGGAATAAGGCTGGCACAGATCCTGCAGAGCACAGTGGCTCTTTGGGAGCTGGAGGCGGCTGCAGCGCCGTGGGAGCAGAGCGCGGCAGAGCCGGGCTCCGATGGCCCTCGGAGCGTTTCCTTTCGGGCTGGCTGCAGGCGGCCGTGCCGTGTGTGCAGCGCTGGGCAGAGCAGAGCAGAGCAGTCGCCGCGGGCCCAGCCGAGGTTCCCCCTTCCACGTGGAGTCCGGGCACTGCGGGCGCTTTGGAACCGTTCCCCGAGGAAGGGAGACGTTCCCGTAGGTTAGGTAAGGAGCATTTCGGGCCAAAGCCCAGTCGTGTTTAGAAGTCATGCACTGAAATTTCCAGGCATTAGCATTGTACATCAGCTCATTGCTTTACATACGTGCATTGTCAAAGATCCTCCCAAACTGTAAAGCATGAAGAGGGCAGCTTATTGTGCAAGAGTTGGCATCTGCTGTGAGTGAGATCCAAGCTTCATCACCTACCTGCTTTAGTTCTGCCTCTTAAGTAAAACTTGTTTTCTTCAGGAAAGAAAACTAAAAGCTCTTTAAATTAATGCTCTCCCTATGGCTGTACAGCACTGAAAAGGTCTTATTTTTCTCTGACATAATGAAGATGTATCCAGTTTCCTCACTGAAGTGCCCCAAATGCTTGTGTTTAGTATGTGGCTGGGTTGCTATGAGATTCTTACCAGTGCTTCAGAGGTAATATTATGTAGTGTTTGTGGAACTCGGGTTTTGCCCCAACTTCAGTATAACCTATCTTCCAAGTTAGAGAGATGTGTTTAAATTTCTGTGCGTAAGGGGCATGTATGTGCACCTACTGAATGTTAAAAACACGAAGTATTCAGGTGTTCCTTTTTGTGGTTCCAATGCATCTCTTACAGAATTTACATGGCCAAAGACCTTTTGTGTTTTTTTTTAATCTAGAGCAACAACAACTCAGAAAATATAGTCTAAAGATCACGTACCCGAAAAGGGAGAGCTCTCTGCAGAAAAGAATCTCATGCAGGCATTTGGGCTTGAGTTGCCTTAAAAAATGCCATTTTTGGGTTTTTTACTGCAATTGTGCAGAACACTGAACCATCCCATTTTCCTCTCTCCTTTCTCCCAGCCCCTTCCAGCTTGCAAACTTCAATGAGAAGCCCAGTAAATTGGAGACTTCTTATGGGCTTCTACAATTTCTTATATTGGATCCAGACAGTGATAACCAAAGACTCTCTGAGCTAGACTGTTTTGCCATCTGGAGGTTGGGTATTGACTCTGAGTTGCAATATGATTATTAATGTATGCTAACTCAATCTTATTCACTTTAATTTAAAAGCAGACATTTTATTTTGGGTCCAGTCTGCACCCTTTGCTATTGAAGAATAACTTTATTACTATTTGTATCTTCAGTTGGAAGCAGACGTGCGATTATGACCTTCATTAGCTTGAAGTTGTGCTTCAAGTGCACTCTGGATTATTAAACAGGAAAAAAAATGTATCATGAACACAAGCTGTTTTTCTAGAGATCTGTTAAAAAGCTTATTTAATTCTTTTCCCTTTTACTTATGTGTGATGGTGGTGGGAGGGAAGCTTTCTGTTCATCTGTTCTATATAATAAATGTGGCTAGAGAGCTGAAACTGGACTATGATGAGCACTTCACAATAGACCGAATGTATGTGCTGTTGTCACACAACAGGAGTGACATCACTTGCTTTACAGGTGTCACTTGTAAAATGGGGGCTTGTGGGTGCTTGAGGAAAGAGTTTACTGCAGCACAGCCGGTTAACTGACCCATCCAGTCTGTTTCTCTGTCCCTGGTAGGGGTTGTTTCTTTGAAGAAGTGAGTGGGATATAAAAAATAAACAGGGAGGAAGACAAGCTTCTGTCTCGATGTTTGCAAGCTGTCAACATGAAATGTAGTCAGTATTAGACCATATTCTTCTGTGTGTGTGTGTGTTTTGATGGTAATCCATTTTCAAGAATAAAACCGTTACTGGTCTTTAATCTTTTTACTACACATTCTATTTGGGTCACTGTTTTCCTCTTGCAGTTCACTCAGAACCACAAGTGTTTTGCCCAGAGTTGCTTTTTGTAAAACATGGGACACTTACTGAGGAGTTTTATATGTGTATGTATATATATATATATATGTATATGACCCTGAGAAAGGCTTTGCTGGGGGTCTTTGGGAAGCTGGGGCAAATAGGTGGACTGTCTATGCAAGAAAGTACTAGTGCAGGCAGCACAATCCTGCTAAAAGGCAATAACAAAGATATATTTGAGTATGAAATAACACAATTATCCATATGATTCATCTGGAAAAAAATGGAAGAAAGTGGAAAAAGCTGTGCGGAAGAACAGTTTCTTGTATGGATATGATGTGGTTTGGCTTTGTGTTGGTGTTGTCATGGACATGCATGCGTGAAGCACCTTGTTTCACGCACGCACTGGGAGTACATTAGGGCCCAACTCGGTGTTTGCTGCTGACCAGTGCTTCAAATCCTTTCCTGCGATGAGATTTGTGTTGGAATGCTAGGCTGTAATTCCACAGATTTGGTGCCGAAGCAGACTTGACCTGACTACATGTGCACTGTGAAGAGCACCTCAGAGCTGCGAGGACTCCAGGGAGCCACCTTGTATCCGGCCACTTCCTCATGGATAGCGGAGCAGGGCTTTCCAGTCACCTAAGTTACCATCCCATGTTTGGAGCTTCATCGTATCAGAGGAAGCATAAAGCACCTGAAAAGGTCTTCCCACTGCTCAGAAGCACCCTGGAGACAGCTGAAAGGAAATGTGGGATCAAGTCTGGTGGTATTTCTTTGAGCTTAGAAATACATGCAGTGTGGCTTGCTGATAGTTGGAACTGGTTTCACGGTCCAGAGTAGATATTTTCAGGTGGCTTTGGGAGGTATCAAGGGGGGAGGATGGGGAGGACTGCAGCTCCTCAAGAAAAGATATTCCACTGTCTGCTAAGCTGTGGTCTCGTGCAAGGCTCTAGGTCCAGTTCGCTTGTAGGCACCTAGAGTTGGAGCTGGGCAGAATTCGGGTGTTTAAGCAGGAGACCTCAGAAAAAGGTACACCCACCACAAATACAGCTTGAGCGGTGCCAATAGTTTAAATTCTGAAGTAATTGGTAACCCCTGGAAATATTTAAGCAACGTGTTATCCAGTGGTAAAAACCTATGAAGGACAATGCATAAAAAAAACCCTGGAGAGTTCCTGGAAGAAAAGCAGGAAAAGCTAATTATACACCCTGCGCTCATATTACATTCACACATTAAAGTGCAATGAAGAAATCTCATCTGTTCCTTCACAAAGAAGCAACAGTTAGGAAAAAATCTTCCCTCCCTCCCTGCCCCCCCTTGTCTTGCAATAGACTTTTTAGGCTACTTTGAAATGAAATTTCTGGAGCTGCAAAACCGCGACCAGGATGCTTGTGTTAGAGGTGTAGCACCCCAGGCTAGGACAGTGTGCCACACAGGTGGCATTGAGCATGCTGAGGGGGTCACGTTACTCATGGCTGTCATTGGCTCTGCATGGCCAGGTTTGGTGAGCTGGTACCAAGTCACCTCCAGTAAATACAGCAGTGCACTGATGTTCCTATTAATGCTCACTGCTGGTTTGTTTTTTTTTTAAACTGCTGGTGGACAAGCTGACCAGCCATGCACTGGATCATAAATGTTATGCCCAATTTATTATATATGACAAAACTGAGACAAAGAAGTTAAGATCAGGCTACAAAAGGCACCGGGGATGCAATGTGACTAGAATCCAGGGTTAAGTCCTGTGATAGAGCTAAAGTATAATCTAGGAAAATAACATTACTCCCACCTCCTTTACTTCATCTTGCAGCACAGGCTTGTGTTTGAAAAATCTTTTAATTTATTCTATATAGGGTCATGTATATTTGTCTGTGAGCATGTGTATAACTCCTGCCACTTGGATCCATTGTTCATTTGTTTTCGGGTGACAAATGCTATTTTGTTTCATCAAAATAACCGGTATATTTTGTTGAAGCTTAAATTACTTTTTTAACCTTTTAACTGAACTGGGCACAATTCCACCTATATCATCACAATTCCACAGTATCACCCAGCGCAGCTGGCACAACACCTAGGTATAAGGTTGCTTGCGTCTCGGGTCCTGAGCAATGGAAAGAGCCACACATCCTTCTGCTCTCTTCCAGGAGTACCTAGAGAACAAAAAGACAGATGATTCAATGTGTATTTAAAAACAGCAGCAACAAAAACCTCACAAAACCATCATAAAAATATTTGCGCTGCTGGAAATGTGGTAGAATGGAGTTTTTTTCTGACTAATTTCCTGGAGTTTGACAAAATATACCAGTGTGGAAAGGGAATAAAAGCATTCCCCACCAATGCTAATATAATTCAAATGTGAAACAGTGGGGAAGAACATACCTTTGCTTATGAGTGAACTCAAGGCAAAGGTTTATATCCTTATCTTGGCCACAGGAGGAGCTCAAAATCATCTCAGTGAGTACAGATTTCGCTTTAGTGATGTGAGTGTTTAAGAATTGAGGAGTATTTTTGCCTTGTGGTTATGATCTTGTGTTGGTTGTCTTTATGCCAATTGTGGTGGTGTCCAGAGATCAGTACCAACCTACTGCAGTAACACATACAGCAAGAGTGTACATGCTCTATGGATCTTGTAATCAAAGGATTACAGTCTCCTAATGCACATGCATCATATCATGATTTCGAAAACAGAGTTTCACTGGTTGAATGGCAGAACTGAGACTTAAAGACAAGCAATTTTGCAGAAGTGGTGGGAGATAACAGTAGAGGGAGGAGGTGGCTGCACGTTGGAGGTACAGCTATGGAGAACAGTTCTGGGCACAGTTGGATGGTTTCATCTCTTCCAGCATTTTTTTTTTCTTTTTAGTGCTGTAAGAAGGTGCAAATATCAAAACTACTGTTTATTAGACTGGTGATTTCCTGCAGGAAAGATGGTAATTCTCTCACCTGATTACAATCTGCTGCTTTGCATTACCAGTGGGCGTATATCATCTTTCTTCTCCTTTTGTGGTGGGTATTTTTTCTGCCCGTGTTACTTTTTACAAGAATTGGCAAATACTTTCCCATTACATTCTGTTTGGAAGCTATTTTTACCAGTTTTTCTTTCACATGTATCCTGTGTGTTGCGATTATGAAACAGCCCTCTGCATCCCACTCCAGGGAGAGAACTGTGGGCTTGGTCTAGTACTCAAATACCTACTGTATTTGCTGATGAACCCACAGTATCAAACTTAGAGGATCTACCCTGATTGCTGATTGGATTATTATCTCCATCTACCTTTATGTAAGGTATTTTGTATTCTACTTTTTAATGGTAGCTTTAAATTTTGTATTTGTTAGTTTTTCCAGCCTTATTGTAAAGGGCGAGTTGGCACGAATCCCTGCCTTTATTTCCTCCTCAGCACTCTCCTGCCTTGAGGAATCATGCAGCCCACTGCAAATCCTGCACTACCAGAGCCTGTGTGTTTCTGCACCAGTGGATGCCCGTTCCGATATGGAGCGAGCACGCAGATCCATGTGGTCAGGCCTGGAGCCACTGCCCATCTCTACTCACGTAGCCTGGGCACGGACGAGCAGGCTGTCCCCAGCAGCCAGAGCCAGGGTTTTGCCATCCTTGGTAACAGCCGATGTGCCCTCCTGGAGAGAAGAACAGAGCGCCGGCTTTTAATTTTCCATGTGCTGTCACCGGCGACAGTACTGCTATTAAATGTGGAGTTCTTTCCCACTGGAAGAGTGCTTCAAACCTGTTCTGTTTTACGGGCTCTAGCAGAAGCTCCAGCAGGTATTCCCTGTCTGGCAGTATTAGCATCAGTAGGAACATGCTTCACGGCTCGTTGTTGCCCATGAGGAAGCAGCAACCCGAGACGCTGCGAGCATCTAACCCGGCTGCCTGCAAATTGGTGTGCCTCTCTGGGGGTCACCTCCGGGGACTCACCTGCTGGAGTATTTCAAGTTCCCTGTCTGCTTTTTCTGATTTCTAACCTTTCTAAATCTTCAAACTCAGTTCGCGAGTCAGCAGGGAGCTGGCAGAAATTTCTAATAGGAGTCCCCGTGCACGGCAATGGACTGTCAAGCAGCGGAGCCAGGGTCTTGCCCGCAAGAACAAGGTCTTGCTTGTGGAGGCTGCTGGAAACTGTAGCTTAAACAAGTGTCCTTCAAGATTATTATGTCCCTAATTAGCATTTAATAGGCCCTGTGAATCTGAAAAGAACAGGAACTGGTAGAAATATCAGGCTTAAGCTAGCCTGACTTGTGTAACTGGAAACTAACTTTCCTCTGTCTGTTTTCCTTCAGGCTGCAAATTTGCTTCCTACGAGGTAGTTGAACGAAGGACACCTAGATCACCTACTGCTGTGCTTTCATATAAACAAGCCCTCAGTTAGATTTTTGTTAGCTTAGTGTACAGCATACCCATTGCCAGCAGAACTGCGGTACAAGGGCAAATGCTTCAAGGAGGAGGCAATAGATAACGGTATTTATCACTCACAGGCATTTTGTGTTTGAAAGATATACGCTAGTAGGAACCAAAACTCTCACCAAGACCTGCTGCAGGATGGAAGCAGCTGTTTTGAACATACAAGGTGGCTGAGGAAGGGCCATTTTCACAGCAGCAATGGCTTATGGCTATTTTCAGCAATAGTTTGCTGATGAAGGTGGTGTCTGTGAGAAGGAAGTTAATTGTTTTAGGTTTTGTTGTCTGTGGTAGGAAGCTTTACTACTATTCTGTCTACTCTGACTGTCGTGGTTAACGGGTGTGAATTGTCACGTACCAGCTGCCATATCCAGATATCCGAATTCTTTTTGCTGTTTTCGGTTATTCCTGGTCCATAAGCTATAACCTGTAAGGAAGAGGAAAAAAAAAAAAAAAAAGAAAAAAAGAAAATATGCAGTGAATTCATCCCAATCGCTGAAGTATACATGTTCCTCTTCCTACAGCATCTAAAACATTTTATTCTTAGAGGGAAATGTTCACAGAATATGACGATATTTTTACAGACATTAACATTCACATTTTTTGCTATTCTGTTAAAAAAACCTGCTGGTAAAAAGGGAGCTGATGGCACCTGCCCCTCCTGCTGCTGCTCTGCATCCCCCCTTATCTGCTCCTTCTGCCTCTTCCCACTCTCAGCCCCGCATCTGCATCCCTGCCTGCCTCTGTTCCGGCAACAGGCCCTTCCTCCTCATGAACCCCAGGCCCTGTCCAGAGCCTGCTCGGGTCAGAAAGATGTTTCCATTAACATTAGAAAAGCTGCAGATCAGAGTCACTTTTCCCATTGTTATCTGCCCTTTCCGCATTGATCCTCCTGATGTCAAGCCCCGACCCTCTGTTATTTTGCAGCTAAATGTATCGGATTGCTCAGAGTGCGACTTGAAGCAACCCAAGGAAAGGGTATGTTCTGTAAACATACAGAACAGACATCAAAAGGTGACAACTTTCCTTACACTCGAACTAGATGGTGCTTGGCTGGCATGAGAAGCGCAGCGCTCTAACATCATTCCCTGTGTTCCTCTTTTATGTAGGTTAACAGAAACAGACGTATGTTTACATGTCCAAATTGGATTTGGCACCAGAAATGCTGCTCAAACATGAAGGAAGTCAAACATACCAACATGATGTAAATATTGCAAGTATTGCTAATTCAGGGAGTATGGAAAGGGGAAGCAAAGATGCCTTATTTAAATCCTAAAGAAAATAAATGGAAATAAGGTTCAGACTGGTTCCTCAAACTGAAGTATCTTAAGACAGGAGCCTCCTTGTCCTCAGGTGGTCTCATCAGTGTCTGGAGACCAGTAGTCCTGAAGTAGTCAGGTTAGGCAATGGCTGAATTTGCAGGGAGGTATAGTTTTCTATAGGATGCATAGGGACAATAGTTTTATCTGCAGATGACCGAGCAGTTTTAGGCCTGGATTCAATCACCCTACACAATCTGTACCGTTAAAACACTCGCTCTCAGAGAAATTGAATGCGCCTACCTCTGTTTCAAAGGTGTCTTCAAACACACGTAAGGATTGCTTCTCCGTTATTTCTCCACGATGACCATTTAACCAGCTTTGAAAGGAAAAGGGCTCCATGACAGAAGTGAGATTTAGTGGGAAAGGTGTTTCTTTCAGCAGTTCATCTATAAACAAAGCAGAGACATAACAGAGAAACTTGCTCTCCCTTGGCCTTTGCTAACCCGACTCCACTCTGAAGGGTTCAGTTACGCCTGGTTACGAGGCGGTGGCCGTGGCATCGCGTGCTGCGCAGCTGTAGGCCTCGAGGCTGTGCTTGTCCTCACAAGGCCGCGTCCCCGAAGCAGTGCTCAGAGCTGCTGTGCACCTGGGTTTCCTACAAATGCGTAAACGTGTGCCATAGGTAGGAGTATCTGCTGGCAGCTCCTTCCTCCTCCTCGCCCCCAGCTTGGGCACGGGTAGAATCGCTCCCGTCTTCTCTGCGGCTTCGCGCGTCCCCCTGGCTTATCCCCGTGTGACTGAAATTAGCTCCACAAAACCAGATCACTCCAGATCTGCCACACATTCCATACGGGCTGATGTTTTTCTTCTCCCCTGGATATTTTTAAAGTTTTTAAAGGCTTCATTGACCACAGTGAAATAAATAAGTTAGCACAGCCTTAGATTTAATAGGAGGTCATTTTTTTCTGGTGTTCCTGAAGTAGTAGCTGGATTTAATTTCCAATGATTCTCCTTTGTAACTGATTTAGTTGAAAAAAAGCTGGAGGGATGAAGGCAGTTTCAGTGTAGGTAGTGAAATTCAAGATTTGTGCTGTGTGTTGCTGCTATATGAAATAAACTTCTGTCATTGAACAGCCCTCAGTGAAGTGCAGAGACAACACAATCACCCTGGGGGTCCCAGGTGGTTTGTTCTGAGAAGCCATAGGGAATGTCCCTGGAGCTATTTGAAGTAATAATGCCAAGTAGATGCAGCAAAATTCCCTAGATGCCTGTCTCCCAAAGGCATTGAGATAATAAACTTGCAACCAAGTCTTAGTCTCAGTAATAGAGCAAACTTCATTAAAGTACCAGTGCATTCACTATGTGATTCCCCCCACCCTTTTTTTTTTCTTTTTTTTTTCTTTCCCCCTGAAGCTATATTTCTGTGTTCTACAGTGTTCTGAATTTAGCATTTCATGGCTTTTCTTGGAATATCTTTTTGTATGTGGTGGTCTTTGAATAGTGCGTGAGGAAGGTGGGTGCATGCAAGGCCCTGGTTGCACCAGCATCAGTTTGTGCTGCTTAATAGACCAGTGCACCAATTATCTGCCTTTTTTTCCAGGTGGTCTGAATGAATTGCTAACCACTTTAGTTGTTTTGTCATTTAGAGCTTTTTATTATACTAAATTAGATGGAAGAAATGAACAGGTTACAGTAAACTGTTTATTTCAGCATTGCCTCTTTCATGGATGGTACATACTGTATCTTCAGCAAAAGGAATCTCTTTGTTTGCAAACATTTTCCTATTGAGCTTTTTTTGAAAAGGTATCCTATTCTGATGTTATTTAACTCAAATATTCAACACATTTTTATTAAACAGTAAAGGCCTTAGAAATTAAGGAGCATCAGAAAGAAAGATAAAATCTTTGCATTAGATTTATTGTAATATTGGGTTGGAAACATTAACAAAACCTAATCTGATGCTGTTTTTTTAAAAAATTATTATTACTAGTTAACACTAAAAAACACTGTTAAGGTTGTAAATTAGAATGATTTATTTTCACATTGCAGTATGTCTGAATTTCTTTTATGTCAGCTTTTACAGAGCCATCAAACCTGTTTTGGAGGTAATTAGAAATATTTGTCCACCTTTTCCCTTAAATTGTGGTTATACTCAAATATAACTTCAAACTTTTTTTTTGGGGGGGGGCGGATAAGAACATGTTAAATAAAGATCTAAAATACTATTACGATGCATATTCACCCACCGCAGAAAAAAAAAATGAAGACATTGTATCAGAAGGTATTCAGTGCATTTAGTGTTCCAATTAATTTTTTTGTTTGTTTCATTAATTGTAAAAATCCCTACCTTCTGAAGCAATATGAACATGTCAGATCATACTCTGTTATCAGAATAAAATGGGTCATTCTTGAATTTAGAAAAGCCTTTTGGAGTACTAGAAAATTACCCATTAATCCAGCTTTCACCTACAATATGTGTTGTCCCAGCTGAGGTGATGAAGGTACACAGCACTCGGCATGGTAAGAGACACACTTGCATGCAGTGGATATCCTGCCTATGGATTCTCAAGGGTGTGGGCATTTTCCCACAAGCTCAGAATTCCGCACCGGGCTAGGAAAGAAGCTCTGTGCCCCCATGCTGCAGAACATGGGTTTCCAGGGTGGGAATTGTGCTGTTTCAGGCAGGCAGAGCTATGAGTGCTCCTCATGAGTTGCACGGAGTGGAGAGCCGAAAAAGTTACAACACTTGTTTGTGCTCTGAGCAAAAAGCAACACGCACAACTAACAGTGGAAAAGAGCTATAAGCTTCTTGGCCTGTATCTTAACTTCTGTAATTTATTCCTTATATGTTTTTTCCTTTGTAAACTAGTTTTCTCCACTCTAGTGTTCTCTGACTCCAACCATCCAGATCACGGTTATCCCCTTGCATAGGACTGTCTTGCATAGCAAACTACAAACATTTAGGGCCAATGCAAAGTATATTACATCCTACAGCTACTGTAGGGCCTGCAGTCATCTTTGCCTGTGATGTACCAGCACTTTGCAACTGTTTCATTTACTTTCAAGTAAAGATGGACAATTGCTTTAACCAGATTATATATTCTTTTTGAGCAACAGTGTAGTCATTTTATACTTGTGTCTAGTCTCAGTGGGCTATGATGGAGTTTTATCTTATTGGTGATTCTAATATTAGTAGTGCTTACTTGACCAATGATAGGCTGATGACCTCTGAAAACTAGGTCCAGGGAAAAAATTAACCTTAGGCATGGTCAGGTACTGTGGTTCTATTATTGCAAAACAAGTATGGGAGCATGGTGATGAAGTGCAGCCTGATATTGTTAAGGCCTGATGTTGTTAATGGCTCACATGGCTGGGTCCTGTGTTAACACCGATCCGTATCCTTGTGTGGTGCCGGAAGTTGTTCCGGGTGTTTGTGATCCTCAGCTAATGAGTGGGAATGAGGGAGAACCAACACTTTGCACTCTGACAGATCCCGGGGTCACAAGGCTGGTGCTTCCAAAAGAACCGAGTATTTCTTATCAGCCTAATGGCTTATATTTAGTTATTAATTATAGCTAATTTTTAGCTGTAATAATAATGGTAATATATGCAAGGAAAATGTAAGAGGATAGCAATTCTAAGTATCCCAAGCTTTTAGCTAACTAGTTTATGTCCAAGTGATTTATCATTACGTGGAACATCAAATCTAGTATTATCTTACATGTTGTTCTGTTCGGGAGATCCATTTAAAGAGCTAGGTCCATTTTTGCAGGTCATTACTATTAAATATTCATACCAGAGCAGTGTGTTCTTTATAGCTTTTATAGCTCTTTATCTTTAAATAAGAATGTGATGATACAACGGTAAGTTGAAAAATATATCATCTTTTAAAAATACTTTTTAAAGAGGAAATTACCCTTTGTGGAGGCCGTGCATCCCAGCTAAGCGCTGGGGACGGAGAGCGGGTTCGGGATGCGAAGCGGTGCGGAGCGGCGCGCGGGCGCTCGGCCGAGCCCGTGGAGGCCTCGCCGCGTTTCTGGTATCGTTACACGGGGCGGTTAAACCTGCCTGGTGTATGGGGGTGTATTTGCTCGCTCTCAAGCCATGGGGAAGTTTCCCCTTCCTGAGCCCTTGAGTCGAGGGCAGAGGACCTTTCCTGTCTAAGAGTTCAGGGCTTCCCATCCTTTTCCCAATGCATTTCTTGAGCCTTGCTCTCTTCCAACTCGTCCAATACCTATTTTTGTATCCAGAGCAACTCACTTCTCTCCATTTTTCCTTTCTCCTTCCAGTCTTCCCCATTGTCTCCCAAGTCCCTTCTTGCTCCAAGCTGATTCCGACCCTCAGCTTTCCCTTCCTTTGCACTCCTTCGACCCTCGTGCCTGCTGCCGAGATCCTTCTGCTCTTCCCTCGAGGTGCTGCTCTTGCTGCCCATGGCCCCTTGTCGCGCTGGCCCTGAGCAGTCACCATTTTCCACCCCTGCAGCTGGGGGAACCTACGCGCTTGCACATTGCCTTCATGCAGCCCAAGCCTGGCCATTGCTCTGTGCAGGGGTTTATTAAACAGGCTGTGCTCAACACCTCTGCTTAGACTAAAAGCTGGTCATAAAAGAGAGTTAGCAGAAATGAGGGACCCTTCCCTTCCTGCTCTCAGCGGGTTCTGTGCGTTGCCTTTGGAAGCTCTTGTTGCTCCCATCTACCTTCCAGCCTTACAAAAAGCAGCTGCACGTGCTGCTTCTTTCCGTGCATCTCCTCCTCAGCACGTGGGAGCCGTCGCAGCGCGTGCAGCAATGCACAGCCTGCCCCGTGCGCTGGCACCGGCTGCGCGGGACGCGCTGCCCGCCCTCGGCATCGCGCCCCCAACGGGAGAGCTCGGCTTCTGGGCAGGAAACAAGCACAAAGTTGCATTTAAAATTCTAGATTGCAAATTGTCAAGTGGCGGAGAGTTGACTGTGGAAATGTTTGTTTCATATGTTGTGGAAGGACGGCAACGTTTACAGAAATTACTAATGGCCCTGGTACTGGGCTTTTGGGGTGCAGAGGCAGCAAAGTCCACAGTTTTGAAACGTGTGGATTGAAAGCTGCGAGTTTTCTGTGTTCCCATCCCAAACCATGAAGGAATTTAGATTTAAAAAAAAAAAAAAGGGGGAGGGGGAGGGGTGCCTCAATCTTGGCTGAAGTTAATAAAGTTTAAATAAATAAAATATTTAAATCTGAAGCCAGAAGATGACTTTATAAGGCCTGTCCAGCTCTGCAGGTAGATCCATCCCTCCAGACCAACCCCCTTAAGGCTGTTACAAGGATCTATGTTTTGACCTCATGCTCTACTAGTCCTAAAAACTAAATTTTCACACCCACTCTTGAACTCCTGCTATTCAACAGCATGCTCTGCAATATATTGTTGTAGGCACCATGGTATAAAAACAGATGCAGAAGAAGAGTTGGAAAGG